CCCAGGTTCTCAACCTTTCAGCATGGCACAATGACACATTTGGTCGTAACAGCTTCCTGGGTGAGATAGAGCTCGACCTCTCCTCTTGGGATTTTAATGACACAGAGTGGAAACTTTTACCTCTTAAACCAAGGGTATAGTATGAATTTGTTGATCATTTCTCTTACATGGCAATTATACAGCATTTTCAAAGTTAAAATACTTCATACACAAATGCATGATCTCTTACTCTAATGTTACCTGGACAACCAATAGGTAAACAGGTTTTTTTTATTTTACTGATTTATTTTTTGGTGTACTAGTGCAGACTTTCAAATTATTCCGAACACAGAAACATCCGCCATGTTGCATACGACAAATGAAAACATGTGTCCTAAAATCAAAATATCAAACATGTTTAAAATCCACTGACTTGATGGAATGAGCCTGAAGCTTAAAAAAAAAAAAAAAAGCTTAAAGCCCATCATACACTAAAAATGCAATGACTTCTCCAGACTGCAAATTGGGACCAAAATCTGTGCACAAGTTGGGAGTATGCTGGAGTATGCAGTGTCTGTGCTACTAGTGTCTTCTAGTGGAACTACAAAAGAAAAGCATGTTCTCAAAAAACCTTTGCAGACGCCCCTTTTGCACATCACGTCTCCCCCAATTCTGACTGTTGAAAATCTTTTCACAACCTGATAGCAATCAATAATTAAAGTGGTCTAAATAAGAAGGTGTATATAAGAAGAGACTTTCAACCAGTATGACAAGAAACTGGAAAAATTTGCCTCCCATAGCTTTAAATAATGGCAGAATTTAAATTTTTGGCTGAATTACGTCTTTAAGCTGTTTTGTTCTGATTCCAGAATCTGTTCTCTCAGGCCACAAACAGCCTCCAGCCATCTGACTTGAGAGGGCAGATGAGACTGGCCGTACGTTTCCTGCCTCAGATTTCCCACTGTAAGGCTCCACCCTTTACAATCATTTACTATTCACAATAATTCACATTCATACACTGTAAAAATGATTTGTGAAAATGAAAGTTGTAAGTAAAGATTATTAGAGTAACTTTTCTTCTTCATTTCACCTTTAATTCAATGGTTTGCTTGTTATTTCTATATAATTTCTGAGTGAAAATGTTTCCTACACAAAACTCTTCTCAGTGCACAGCTGAACTGATATAATGAAAGACAGCACATTATGTCACAGAAAAAGTCAAATGTCAAAGTTCTGTCAAATGATCGGTGCTAATGTTTCTTTCTTTTTTTTTTTATCCAGCAAAAAACACTCCTGGCTCTGGTGAGGTGCATATCTGGGTAAAAGACTGCAAGAATCTCCCTCTTATCAGAAGTCCAACTATTGACCCATATGTAAAATGGTAATAATAATAACAATAATAAAACAATTCTATTATATTGTGATTGCATGGCATTATAGCTATTTTTCTTGAAAAGATCTTTAGTGTCCTACTAAATAATGGTTTGTTTAATTCCTTGCACAGCTTTGTACTCCCCGACACCAGCAAAAAGAGCCGTCAGAAGACTCGGGTGCTGAAGAGAACAGTCAACCCCGTATTTAACCACACTATGGTTTATGATGGCTTCAGGGCAGAGGACCTGAGAGAGGCTTGTGTGGAGCTTACTGTTTGGGACCGTGACCGACTAGCCAATCACCTGCTCGGAGGCCTGAGACTCGGCATGGGCACAGGTGCAGTCCAGTGTTGGATGTTTATTGGATCTGAGATCTATAAAATACATATTAACACAAAAATGATATGCAAGCCAATTTTGTGTACAGGCAAGAGTTACGGAGTACAGGTGGACTGGATGGACTCTACAGCAGAGGAAGTCGCTTTATGGAGGAGAACGATGGAATCTCCAAATGAATGGGTGGAGGGCATGTTACCACTGAGGATGGTAACAGCAGCCAAAAACACATGGAAATGAGATTACAGGGACATTTATCAAATCACGTCTTTCAAATAATATTTGTCCAGCTTGCATTTGTTATGATTTATAGTATAATAGATTAGGTTTTTGTCACGTTAGGACTTTTTGGCCCCCATTAGACCTGACATCAACACGAGTTCCGTTTCCAGATATATAGATATTCTCTAGCTGGATTTATTTATTGCCTTCACTCCTGTGTTCAGTAGGATTGAACAGAGATCAGATTGAATTTATTGAGCCAATAACATATTACATGAGATCATTTACCGATTTCAAAATGCTTTCCATAAAAGTAAGTTATAAGCAATGTCTAAAGGTGGATGTTCAGGTGATTCTTTTCTAATGTAATCTGTTTTTAAGAGGTTACAGATTCATATAGCTAACGATAATCCCTTAAAACATCACATATATTTTGAGTCTTAAGACCTTATAAACTATAGTATATGTTCAAGACTTCAAAATAGTTTTGCAAAGTGGGTGACTGCTTTATTTGTCAAATACGTCTGTACTAACATCAAAGCTCAAAGACATACTGTACTACAAGCAAAATAATGCAGGATACTCCCAGTAAACATGCCAAAAGCAAATAAATAAACAGAAAGTTGGTTCACCATGCTGAAATGTTTTTTTATCTTACTATATCAAAGGTATTTGTATGTGCATGGTGACAAATTTTACCCTAGTATGGGTATATACTACACTATATCATGCACAGAATACACAAATTAACATCTGGCTACCCAAGAAAGTATAGCACAGGACTCCACAGAAAAATGCCATTTTAAAATCTGCCACCTTGTTGGCTACTCAATTCTGGATACAACTGTTTTTAAGCCATTGACAGTGCATTACATCAATGCAATTCTGACAATGCATACAAATAAATGCACCACTGTTGAGATCTGGTGCAAAGAGCCAAGGCTCTGAAAGGAGGAGGTGAGACCGGGTCACGCTCGCAGAACAAGAGCTCTGGTGAGACTGAAGAGGAGCAGAGCTGTCTGAACATGTGTACACTGTGCAGCTGGCACATACTCTCTCCCGTCTCAAAGGACTAGATAAACAGCACACTCCAAGTTCCACACACTCTTTCAGAAAAAACAAAGAACATGTGCTCCTTTGGGAGAGAAAGATTTTGCACTGAGATTCACATACAGGAGATACGCATAAACGGATGCACAAAATTGTGACATCTAAACGTTTGCCCTCTTAACCCACATTCTCAAATACCGTCAAAACGTATAAAGTCAAAATGTGCTATTCATATTTTAAACAAAGAAAAAAATGGAAATGGACATGTAAAATATATTAATGTTAGCTCATAAAGATGAGAACCAATTATAGTCCCCACCCAGTCCCATAATATTTGAATGCCTGTGATAAATTACATCAACTGTCTGATATCATAAGAAAGGAGTGTGAATGGGGTTGGTTTGGTACCGTATATTCTGTAAGTTTAAAAAAGTCAACTTAATTGTATATTACAAATTATTATATAGTAATCATAATTATGAGAATGTAGTACAAATTCAGTTCACACATCACTGCTCTCCTGCTGGTTATACTACAACACTTATTTTGGAAATAATTGCTTTGACATATTCTTTACGATTATTTATTATGAAAAAAAATAGTCATTAGCTTCATTGTTATTGGACAAAATAGTTAATAACTTCACAGTAACACACTGTACTTTCACCAAATTCAGTTCACACATCACTGCTCTCCTGCTGGTTATACTACAACACTTATTTTGGAAATAATTGCTTTGACATATTCTTTACGATTATTTATTATGAAAAAAAATAGTCATTAGCTTCATTGTTATTGGACAAAATAGTTAATAACTTCACTGTAACACACTGTACTTTAACCAAATTCAGTTCACACATCACTGCTCTCCTGCTGGTTATACTACAACACTTATTTTGAAAATAATCGCTTTTACACATTTTTTATGATTTTTATTATGAAAAATAGTTAACGCAATTATTTTATTTTTTTTTTATTGTGAAAAATAGTTAATAATTTCAGTTATCGGACATAATAGTTAATAACATTACTGTAACACACTGTACTTTCATCAAATCCAGTTCACACATCACTGCTCTCCTGCTGGTTATACTAAAACACTTGTTTTGAAAATAATTGCTTTTGCACATTTTTTATGATTTTAGATGTTATTTCTTTTTCATCTTGCATATTAAAGTAGTATCATAAAAGCGCGGCGCTGCTTTTACAGCAGTAACCATGAAAAAGGCATGGTTGTCAGAGAGTGAATTTGCTTCTCATTCGGCCGGCTGCTGTTTTTTGTTTTGCTTTATGTAGTGTATATGTTTATATGTTTTATGTAGTATAGTTTCACAAAGCTAAAGTCAAATTCTCTTTTTGCTTCAAATTTCGGAATTCTACAATTTAAGTCAAAAAATGCTGGAAAAAAAATCAGAAACCATCACAGAAATTCTAATGGTTTCCACAAATACCATTACAAACCATCAACTTTTAACTATTAAAAGTGGTTTCCGAAGCGAAGTGAAATACAGAACGAGAGTGGAAGGGAAACTGATGTATTACACAGTCAGTCATATGCATGTTTATGCTGAGATAGTCTTAAAAGGTAATATACTCCTCACTTTTTTGAAGACTTTTGTGCACCTGTGTTTGATGTTACGTGAACAAATATTTAACTGAACATTAAGCTGCTAATGAATGAAATCCTAACTGATAACTGATAACCCGGATGAGTGAAAATCCCGGGGGACAAAGACAGGTTCTAATATTTTTATTCAAGTTTAAACCTTAAATTGTTACATTCATTGTGCATACATTTCCCCCAAAGCAGTGTTACATGCATTATAGACTTTTCAAAAGAACAAAATATGTAAACTACATATTGAATATGTTTCTTTTTAGAAAAAAATAGAAAAATTGAGGTGCTAATAACTGACACATAATATATTTTCTCCCATTTACGTAACAGGTGAGATATCTTCTAAGAAACATTGTTTTCAGTCAAGTGATAAGGAATTCCCGAATCCCGATGTCGATCACTGTCCAAGTCCTGATGTAGACAACCAGTCAAATAGAAAGAAGCTCAGCAAGCCAGTGGCTACACCAACATACGTCAGCTGAGGGATGGATGCTGATGAGGATACTAGATACACATAGGAAGATAAATCAATATTAAATCACATCAAAATTACAAAACAATAATAGAACTATTTAGATAAGGTTCTTAATGAGTTCAATAAAATGAGTGAATTCTTACATCTAGCGGGCACAACGCCACCTGAGGAAGAAGTGGAAGAGAATTTGAAATCAGTACAAATCAGTAACTTTAGTTATTTTTTATATAACTATTATATGATTCTTTGTACCTGTAGGATTTGGAAATGTTGAGTTTATCTTTAAAGGACTGTGGAAGGGATAATTTGCCCTGGTGGGCTGGTCAGAACCCAGGAACTCAGTCAACAACAGTTCTGTCTTTGATGAATTTACTGTGCTATGGAGCATGGAATAGGTGTGGTCTGTACAAAGATAACAAATACAATAAAGTGAATAATACAAACTTCAAATACAATAATTTGACATTATCAGTATTACTGGAAATAAGTGAAATGCTACAGCTCAATGGATTGCCATATTAGCATCTGACTAGGCCATTTAACCACAATCTTCATTAACACACTTATACTTGCAATTCACAATAGACAGATGAACTAAAACAATAATCTATCTCAACGTAGAACATGAGAACAGTAGAAATAAAGCGATTATAGAATTTCACGGCAGATATACATAACGTGCTTGCATGCAGGGGCGATTCTAGGATATTTTCAACTGGGAGGCACAAGAGGGGCCACAACTAATACAGAGGGGCCAATCTTATATTGTGTATTTATATGTAGAACTGTAGATATCTGAATCATTTAAAGTTCAGTAAGCTTTAAAATCAGCAATAAACAGAGATACCTTATCAATTAATAGCATTTATTCACTGCTGTAAATCAGAACAGTCAAATACAATTTGTATGAACTTTTCACGTTTAAGAAGTGAAAAACTGTAATAAAAGAATCCAATCTATGAATAGAGTGCAACTCACAAAAATAATAAAACTCAACATTAAGTTATATAAACTTTACACAAATCCTCACAACAAGGGCAAAACAAAAAGTCCAGGTTTCAGAAAATAATAGAACAGCTTTATTTATACAAATGCAGAGTTCTATTAATCATTCATATAATAAATACACAATTAAGGAATTAACAACTTTATAAATTAAATAGAATAATAAAAAAATAGTTTATTTATAGTTTTATCCACATCCTATTCAATTTGCATACCAGCAGTTGCAGTAAATTTGCATTGAAGAATTGACAAAATCTAAATATGACAAGGCTAACTAAGCTTTGAACATATTGATTGTAAAATATCATATATCCATACCTAATGTTAGATATTATCTATTTTATCTATGCATATCTTATATAAACAGTTATTTTAGTATTATTTACTTATATTACAGTGTGTGCATAATTTTTAAATTGATATTCTGATCATATTTTTCCAAGCACATTTTACCAGTAACTACTATTAATTTTGTTTAATCATTTATAAGTGATACATAATTGTCCATGAAAGCTGGAAGTGAAAATCTCCTTATATTCAGGTGTGCAGAATTATTAGGCAAGTTTTCTTTTACAGATAAAATGAGCCAAAAAAGAGATTTAACTC